CGCCGTCTCAGTCCGTCCTCGCTGTCGCGCCGTCACCGTCCGCATCGCCGCCGTCGCCGCCCTCTGCGTCGCCGTCGCCGCCCTCTGCGTCGCCCTCGCCGCCGCCGCCGCCGCCCCATCCTTGCCGCCGCCGCCGTCGCCGCAACCGCCGCCGCGTCCCCGCCCTCGCCACCGCCTCCGCCCTCGCCGTCGCCGCCGCCGCCGCCCTCGCGGCCGCTTTCACGCCGCCCCGGCCGACGCCGCCCTCGCCGCCGTCGTCGCCACCGCCGCCGTCGCCGGCGCCGTCGCCACCCTCGCCGGCGCCACACTCGTCCCCTAACTCGTTGCCGCTGCCGTCGCCACCGCCCTCGCCGCCACCACCCTCGCCGTCGCCGCCGCTGCCACACTCGCCGTCGCTCTCGCCGCTGCTGCCGCCACCACCACCATCGCCTCCGCCCTCGCCGCCGCCACCGTCGCCGCCGCCCAGGCCGCTGCTGCTGCCTCCGTCCTCGCTCTAGCTGTGCGCCGTCACCGTCCGCATCTCCCACGCCGCCGCCGCCGTCCGCCTCGCTGTCGCTGCCGCCGCCCTCCGCGTCGCCCTCGTCCTCGCCCTCGCCACCCTACCCTTGCCGCCGCCGCCGTGGCCGCCGCACTCGCCCTCCGCCACCGCATCCCCACCCTCGCCGTCGCCTCCGCCGTCGCCGTCGCCGCCGCCGCCGTCGCCGTCGCCGCCACCGCCGCCACCGCCGCCGCCGTCGCCGCCACCGCCGTCACCGCCGCCGCTGTCGCCGCCGCCGCCGTCGCCGCCGTCGCCGTCGCCGTCGCCCTCGCCCTCTCCACCGCCGCCGCCCTCGCCGCCGCCGTCGCCACCGCCGCCCTCGCCGTCGTCCTCGCCGCCCCCACCCTCGCACCCTCCGCCGCCGCCGCCATCGCCCCGCTATCGTCGCCACCGCCTCCGCCCGCCTCGCCGCCACCGACCTCGCCTCCGCCGTCGCCGCCGTCGCCGCTGCCATCGCCCTCGCCGCCGCCGCCGCCATCGCCGCCGCCACCGCCTCCGCCGTCGCCTCCGCCCCCCCCCGCCCCCCAACGACGCCGTATTCCCGATGCGTGGCAGCTTTGGCCGACCCATCGCCCTCCCTTCGCTTGAGCCCGCCCCTGCCCATTGTCGCGCGCCCCGCAGGTCTCTCAACGTCCGTCTTCTCCGACCCTCTACACCCCCTCTCATTTCAGACCCCGTCACACCCGCATAGCAGTTCAGCGCATTCCAAAGAGCTAGCGCGCCTTGTGTCTGACGGCCCCCTTTTGGCTGCTATTCAGGGGCGCTGCGTAATCACCGCGGAGAAGTAGGTCCGCCGGAGGCGGAGGTCGGCTCGCACCCATCCCCATTACCCCCTATCACGGAGGCTGGTGATGGATGGGGACGTGCTGATCGATCCTGAGGCATCTCTGCAAGCTGGTCGTCAAGTTGTCATCGTATTTCCGCCGCTTGGTGGACAACGCGTCAACCTTGGCCGGCAACTGTGCTCACCCCCCATCCCCACCCCCCCCTTCCCACACCACACTGACGGGTTGACTTCAGGCTTGGCCTCTGCGACGACGCACAGGTACGAGAATGATCGAGTCTTCCGCGAGACGATGCAGAAGATCGACGAGTACACCGCGCATTTGCTCCCGGTTCGTCTGGTGGAGGTGCTCTATCCAGGCGCCCGCGATGAGGCCATGTACGCCGCGGTGATGCAACAGCCGCAGTACTCTCTCTCGTCAACCTTCGCCATCGAGGTCGCCCTGGCCATGTCGTGCAAGGCGAACCTGCGCGAGGAGGACGAGCTCTACGCCACCTTGGGCCACTCGGTGGGCGAATTTGCCTCTGCCGTCATCTCCGGCGCGCTCTCACTCGAAAGCGCGACAGCGCTGGTCTGCGAGCGCGGCCGCCTGATGGAGCAGCACCCGACGCGCGGCTCAATGATGGCGGTTCGCGCCTCCTCCACGGACGCGAACCGCGCCATCGACAGGGCTGGCGAGCGCGGCCGCGTTGTTGTCGCTTGCGACAACGGCCCTCGCGCAGCCGTGCTGTCTGGTAAGTGGGGGGCATTGTCGACGGTGCTGCAGGGGCTTGCCCCTGGTGTTCAAGTGACGCGTGTCTCCGCGACTCACGCTGACCACTCTCCGGCCATGGCGCCGCTGGCGGCGCTACTCGGCGCTTACGCGGTTCAGCTGTACGCGCAGGAGAAGCCGCAGTCGCCAGAGGTGCTCTGGGTGTCGACCGTCACCGGGCATGCGATGGCCGAGGAGAATGCCATCGATCCGATGCACTGGTCGCGGCATTTCACCGCGCCCGTGCTCTACCAGGACGCGCTGAGCACGCTTCTCGAGGGCTGCTCCGAGACGGGTCGCCCCACCGTCGTCCTGGAGATGGGAGAGGGCATGCTCGAGCGCTTTGGAGCACATACCTCCATCGAGTTCGCCGTCGCCGCCTTGCGCTTCGTACCGCTCCTCGCGCGGGGCGATACGACCGTGCAGTCGGTGTACCAACGCATGCGCGGCGAGGTCTCCTCGAAGCCGGCCTTCTTGACGCAAGGCTCGTCTTCCTCCTCGCCCCTGCGGTGGCGCCGCGCCGGCGGCTTGCTTGGCGGCCTCTCACCGACTCTGACTCGCAACTCACCGACGTCTCCGCACGGCGAGCCTCGCTTGCTCGCGGGGCGACTACCATCAAACACGAATGATTCACATGTACTCACCCTTTTTCCCCAGGCGGCTTGGGTCACGACGAGCGACTCGGACTGCGCGATGCTGTGGCAAAGGCAGCGGCCGAGGCGGCCAACGTCGAGGCGGTGGGGCTTGATGTGCCGCTCATGGACGCGGGCCTGGACTCGGAGGCGGTCCCGCAACTAGTGCGCTCTCTTTCTCGGATGAGCCACCTCTCCGGAATGGACAGCTCGGACGTGAACGCTTCGCTGATCTTCGAGGAGGGGAGCGTGCGAGCAATCGCAGCGCGCATGTCGAGCGATGGCAGTGCGTCGATCGCGGCGGGCGCAGCGAATCTGCCTCTCGATGTTGCGCCCATCGACTCGAGCGAGTACGCTGTGGTTGGCATCTGGTCTTGCGGGGGGGCGCGACTGCCGGCGGCCCCTCACGGGGTCCCCTCCTTCGCGCCAAAGCTCGCTTTAGGCTTTGACGCGATCGGTTCCGTGCCCGCTCGATGGGAGTCGCTTGCGGATGAGCTGCTTCCGGGTCGCGCTGCTTGCTTGCGCCATGGCGGCTTCATCGCAGGCGCCGAGTACTTTGACAACGCCGCGTTCGGCATCTCCATCTCCGAAGCGTCGAGCATCGATCCGCAGCAGCGGATTCTGCTCGAGAGCGGCCAGGCGGCGTTGCACGCAGCCGGCCTGCGGCGCGCGGGCCTACGAGGCAGCGAGACCGAGGTGTACCTGGCCACGAGCAACGTCGACTTTCGGGAGCTGATGCCCAAGCAGAGTGTGTACGCCGCAACCGGCGCCTCGACTGCCGTCGCCGCAGGCCGGCTTTCCTTTACGCTCGGCCTGCAGGGCGCGTGCATTACCATCGACACGGCCTGCTCGTCCTCCTTGTCCGCGCTGCACGCCGCAGTGCTCAGCCAGCAGGCGCTTGACGGAGCTAACGTCGCGCTCGTCACGGCTGTCAATTTGGTGCTCACGCCGTCTATCTCTGTGGCGTACGCGAGGGCGGGCATGCTCTCTGCAGACGGCCGCTGCCGCACCTTTGACCGGCGAGCCAACGGGTACGTGCGATCGGAAGGCGTCGGTTCGCTCGTCCTTGGCTCGGGCGGCGACGCTGCCAATCGCGTAGCCTTCTCCTCCATTGCGCAGGACGGGCGGAGCGCGAGCCTCACCGCTCCTAGTGGATCAGCGCAAGCAGCGCTCCTCGGCCGCGCCGCAGCACAGCTGGCCGGCGGGCAGCGGCTCTGCTTGCACGAGTCGCACGGCACCGGGACGGCGCTGGGCGATCCGATCGAGCTAAAGGCGGCGAGCAAGGGGTACGGCTCGCTCGACGGCATTTTGGTGGGAACCCTCAAAGCGAGCGTCGGACACCTCGAGCCAGCTGCGGGGCTGGCGGGCTTGCTTGGGCTAGCTATTGCCCTGAAGGCGCGATCCGGAGCGCCCAACGGGCAGCTTCGGGTGCTAAACCCGCACGTGTCGGCGCATGTGCTTGGCCAGGGGGCGGCGCTGCTCACCCAGGGCAGCCAGACTACGTCGGGAGTCGCCGGTGGCGTGAGCTCGTTTGGGTACAGCGGCACCATTGCCCACGCCGTGCTCGAGGCGGCGCCGCCCTCTCTCGGCACGAGCAGCCCGCCGCCGCTCGCCTACGCTTGTCGCCGTTTCGCGTGGCGCGAGGCGCCCCACCCGCTCCTCCAGCGGCGAGAGGCGGACGCCGACGGGCGGCAGGCCGACGCCTTCTCCTCGCCGGCCGGCGGGCCCCTCCTCGCCCTCGTCGCCGACCACGTCGTGCGGGGCCGCGTCGTCTTCCCCGCCGCCGCCTACCTCGAGATGGCTCGCGCGGCGTGCGTCTCCCTCTCCGGCGGCGGCGGAGGCGCGTCGCTGCGGCGCGTCTTCTTCCTGCAGCCGCTCGTGCTGGACGGCGGCCTGAGCGAGGCGCGGGTGCGGGTGGGCGTGATCAAGGATCGGTTCGAGGTGGCCTACGAGAGAGGCGGCGAGGCGTCGACGGCTCACTGCGCCGGCGACGCGTCGGCCGCGTCGGGCCATCTCCCTGGCCTCTCGCTCGCCGCGGCTCGCGCCTCGTGCGGCGAGGCGGTCGACGCCGCCTCGCTCTACTCGCTTCTCCGCTCGGTCGGCCTCGAGTACGGCCCTCGGTACCGCACGCTCGAGGTGGCGGCCGTCTCGCGCGCCGCCGGCGCCGCCGTCGGCCGGCTGTGCCGCCGCTCGCGCAAGGAGGGCACTCGCGTCCACCCGGCCGACCTCGACGGCTCGCTGCACCTGTCCTCGCTGCTCGCCGAGGCTGAGGAGGGCGAGACGCGGCTGCCCTTCTCTGTGGGCGAGGCGGCGCTGGCGGATGCGAGCGGCACGGCGTGGCCGGTGGCGGAGCGGGAGGGCGTCGGGGCGGTCGGGGTGGTCGTCGCCAGCGGCGCCGGCTCGGCGGGCGTGCGCCTGGCCGGCTTCGAGTCGCGTGCGCTCAAGGCGTCGTTGGGGGCTGCGCCGGCGGCGAGGGCGACGCACCTGTACGTCACCTCGTGGGAGAGGAGTGCTGAGGCGTTCGAGGCTGCGCCGGCCGCGCTGGTGGTGCACGCGGCGCCTTCTGGGAAGCGCGGCGGCGCAGCTGCAAGCGGCGCACCAGTCTCGAGGCCACCGCCCTCCTCCCTGCTCCTAGCCACCAGCCTCGCCGGCGGCGCCCTCGCCTCTGACGCTCTCGCCGGTCTCGCCTCTTCCTTTGTCGCCGCCCGAGCGCACACGCTGGCCGCGGCATCGGCGCCGGTGTGGATGCTCACCTCGTGCGCCCTCGCCGCCCACCCGACGGCGGCCGGAGCCTCGAGCCACGCCGGGCTGCTGGGCCTGGCCCGCTCAGCGCGCGCCGAGGCGCCGGCGTCGCGCCTGCCGATCATCGACCTGGACGTGCTCCGGCCGGGCACGGCCGAGCTGGCGGCGGTGTCGAAGCTGGCCGGCAAGCTCGGCCTCGGCTACAACGGCACGCCCGAGCCCGAGGTGGCCTTTGACGGCTCGAGCCAGCGCGTGCCGCGCCTGACCGAGGCGGCCGGCTCGCTGGGCGGCCCGATCCGGCTCCACTTTGACGCGAGAGGGGCGATAAGCAACCTGAGGCTGGTGCCGCAGGAGGGCGACGAGTCGGGGCCAGCGCACGGTGAGGTCAAGCTGCGCGTCGGCGCGGTCGGCCTCAACTTCCGGGACGTGCTCAACGTGCTCGGCGCCTACCCGGGCGACCCGGGCCCGCCCGGCGGCGACTGCGCCGCCCACGTCGCTGCCACTGGGGGCGGCGTCGGTCACTTGTCGGTTGGCGACGCGGCGCTCGGGCACGGCATCGCTGCACTCGCGTCTCTGTCCAAGTCCGACGCGCGCCTGATGGCGGCCATCACCGACTCGCTCTCGTTCGATCAGGCGTGCACTCTGCCGACGACGTGGAGCACGGTGCACATGTCGCTGCTCGCGGCCCGGCCGGCGGCTGGCCACGACGTGCTTCTGCACGCCGGCGCTGGTGGTGTCGGCCTGACCTCGCAAGAGTACTGCTACTTCATCGGCAACCGCGCGATGGCGAACGTCGGCCGGCCGTACAAGCACTTCTACCTGCACAAGATGGGCCTCGCCGGCCGCACGCTCAGCTCGCGCAACGGCAGCGCCTTCGCGCTCGGCGCGTCGAAGCTGCTCGGCTCCCGCCGGCTGCGCTTCTCGCTCAACAGTCTGTCTACGGACTTCATCGCGTGCACCTTCGCGCTGCTGCGGCAGGACGGCGCGCTCTGCGAGATCGGCAAGCGGGCGGTGTGGAGCTACGAGCGGCACGAGGCGGCGTGCTCCAACAGCTTCACGATGATCGCGCTCGACTCGACGATCGACCAGACGCCGTGGTGGATGTGCGGCACGCTGCGGACGCTGTCGGCGCGTGCGGATGCCTCCGTGCTCCACGGCCTGCCCATGCAGCTCTTCGACCTCGAGAGGGACGTCCTGGCCGCCTTCCGCACGCTCCAGAGCGGCACCAACACGGGCAAGGTGGTGGTGCGCATCCCGAAGACGGCCCCGACGCCGCCGCGCGGGGCCCATCTGCTCTCTGGCGGCACGGGCGGCCTCGGCCTGGTCACGGGAAGGTGGCTCGGCGAGAGCGGCGCCTCTTCGGTGGTGCTCGCGGCCCGCGGCGGCAAGGTCGCCCCCGCGGACGGCGAGAAGCTCAAGAAGATCGCCAGCTGCAGCTTCAGCGTGGTCAAGTGCGACGCGGCCGAGCTGACGGACACGGCTCGCATGGTTGGCGCCGTCCTGGCCAAGGGCAGCCCGCTGGCGGGCGTGTGGCACGCGGCGGGCGTGCTGTCGGACGGGCTGCTCGCTTCGCAGACCGCCGCCGCTGTGAAGCGCGTGTACGCTCCCAAGGCGGTCGGCGGCTGGGGCCTGCAGCGAGCGAGCGCCGCCTCGCCGCTCGACGCGTGCGTGCTCTTCTCGTCGGTGATGGCGCTGCTGGGCGGGGGCGGCCAGTCCAACTACGCCGCCGCCAACGGCATGCTCGACGCGCTCGGCGCCTGCCGGCGCGTTCGCGCCATGAACGCGACGTCGGTGCAGTGGGGCCCGTGGGCGGAGGTAGGCATGGCGGCCGAGGCGTCGATCAGCGCGCGGCTGCAGGCGTCGGGCATGGGTTTGATTGGCTTGGAGCAGGGCGCGCTCGCCCTCCAGGCCACCCTGCAGCCTGCCGTGTCTGGCGTGATGAGCCTGGTGGTGGTAGAGTGGGGCCGGTTCCTCGGCGCGATGCCAGAGGTGCCGCCGCTGCTCGTCAGCTACGCGGGCCGGACGCTGCTCGTCAGCTACGCGGGCCGGAGGGTGGCTGGCGCGGCTGCGGCTGCCGCCTCTCGTGATGCGCAAGGCGAGGCGAGGGCGGTGCCGCTCGAGGCGATCCTGCAAGCGGTCAAGGCGACGGCGGGTGCAGAGGCGGACGCCGACGCGCCGCTGATGGAGTCGGGGCTCGACTCGCTCGGCGCGGTCGAGCTCGGCAACCAGCTGCGGTCGATGTCGGGCGCGGCGCTGCCGTCGACGCTCGTCTTCGACTACCCGACAGCGCGCCAGCTGGCGGGCTACTTGAAGGAGCAGGCGGAGGACGCGGCCGAAGGAGGCACTGCAGACGGCCCAGCGGCTCAAGCGGCCATCCACAGCAGTGGCCAGGCTTGGGCGCTCAGTCTCGCCGCCAGCCTGCCGAGCGGCATCGCGACGCTGGCGCAGCTGCGCCACCTGGCCGCTGCGAGCAGCGACGGCATTGCCGAGGTGCCGCCGGAGCGGTGGTCGGTGGAGGCTGCTTTGGCTGGCGCGGACCAGGTCGTCGGCCGGCGAGTGCGGCACGGCGGCTTCCTGAGCGGCGCCGACCTCTTCGACAATGCTCGCTTCGGCGTCTCGCCCGCCGAGGCGGCCGCCGTCGACCCGCAGCAGCGGCTGCTCCTCGAGCGAGGCTACGAGGCCTTGCACGGCGCAGGCATGGACAAGGTGGCGCTGGGCGGCAGCCTGGTGGGCGTCTTTCTCGGCATCACCGCCAACGACTGGCAGAGCGTCGCGGCGCAGTCTGCAGCCGGCAAGAGCGTGTACGCCGCCACCGGCGGGGCGACGTCGGTCGCGTCGGGCCGCCTCTCGTTTGTGCTCGGGCTGCAGGGCCCGTGCGTCTCGTACGACACCGCCTGCTCGGCGGCGCTGGTCGCCAGCCACGCCGCGCTGCGAGCCCTGCAGCTGGACGAGTGCTCCCCCGCCCTCTCGGTCGGCGTGAACCTGATGCTGCTGCCCGGTGTCGGCTTCTCGTTTGCGGTTGCCGGCATGACGTCGCCGACCGGCCGCTGCCACACCTTTGACGCTGCGGCGGACGGGTACGTTCGCGGCGAGGCGTGCTGCGCGGCGGTGCTTGCGATGGGCGAAGAGAGCAGCGGCTCGGCGCTCTCCCTCCTCGGCAGCTGCGTGCGGCAGGACGGCAAGAGCGCGAGCCTCACCGCGCCCAACGGGCAGGCGCAGCAGGCGCTGCTGCGGGCCGCCCTCGCCGACGGAGGCGTCGAGCCCGCCGCCCTCTCGTGCTACGAGGCGCACGGCACCGGCACACCGCTCGGCGACCCGATCGAGGTGCGCTCGCTCGCGGCGGCGGTGCTGGCTGCGCGCGCGCCGTCGCCGCCACTCTGCGTGGGCAGCCTCAAGGCGAACTGCGGCCACGCCGAGCCGGCGGCGGGGCTGGCGGGGCTGCTACGGCTGGCGGCGGGGCTGCTCGAGGCGCGGGCGCCGCCGAACGCGCAGCTGCGGCGCATCAACCCGCACGTCGGCTCTGCGGTGGAGGGCGTGGCGTGCGCACTGCCGACGCAGCTGGCGCGGGGGCTGGATGCCGCGGCGGGCGGGAGGGGCGGCGTGAGCTCGTTTGGGTACAGCGGTACGATTGCCCACGCTGTGCTCGAGGCGGCGCCTGATGCATCGGCCGGACCTCCGCCTCCGCCTCCTCTCGCGTACAAGCGCCGCTCGTTCCCCTGGTACGAGGCAAAGGACAAGGGGCTGCCACCGAGCTGCAGGCTGGCTGGCTGCATGCGAGCCCCCTCTGCTCTGCGTCGCCTCCGCCGCCTGCCCGACGCGGCTGCGCTCGTCCAGCTGCAGAGCCTCACCCTCGACGCGAGCGAAGAGCTGAGTGAATGGCTCCGGGCCCGGCGAGAGCCTCTCGTGCTCCTCTGCCGAGGGCCGGTGGGCGGCGCGGGCGCGCTCCTCCTCCTCGACGCCGCCACGGTGGTCGTCGCCGACACCACCTTCACTCTCTCCGTGCAGCCAGAGTGCTCTGTGCGCCTCCACAGGCGGCCTGAGGGGATCGTGACAGCCACAACGCTGTCGGCGTCCGATGCAGCACAAGCTGGCCTGGTGGACTCGGCTCTCTCGCCCGCCACTGCGGCCGCCGAGTCTCGCCGCCTCGTGCAGCGCCTCTCCTCTCTCCCTGCTCCGCTCTTGAAGACCTGCCGCTCGCTCCTGCCTGCGCCGAGTGTCGACGCCGCACTCGTTGCGATGGGCTCGCTCCTTCCCAGCCCGCCACGCTCCATCGGCAAGCGGCTCGTGCGGCTCTACGTCGATGGCGAGTCGAAGGTGGCGGTGGTGGAGCTGAACGACCCGTCGCGCATGAACAGCTTCTCGGCGGAGCTCGCCGAGGACGTGGCGGAGGCGGCGGCGAGCATCGGCCGTGGCCCGCTCGTCAAGGCGGTTGTGCTCCAGGGCGCGGGCCCGCACTTCTCGGTCGGCGGCAACCCCTTTCAACGGGAGAAGGCGGCCGCGCCACTCGCTGCTGCTGCGCTCGGGTGCCAGGCGGCGTTTGACGGCTTTGGCGCACTGTACAAGCTCGGCGTGCCATTGATCGCTGCGGTACACGGCAAGCTGATTGGCGGCGGCATCGCTGCCTGCCTGCACGCTGACTACATTGTGGCCGACTCGAAGGCCACGTTCGAGCACGGCAACCTCGTGCGCGGCGTCTGCCCTCTCGGCATGCTGTCTCAGACCCTTCCAAACGCGGTGGGGCGAGCACGGGCGCTCTCCATCTACCTTACCAACGACACGCTCGACGCCGCCGCAGCACACGAGGCGCGGCTCGCAGACGAGGTGTGTACCGAGGGAGTCGAGGCTACGCAGCGCCGCGCCTTCGACGTCGCGTGTGAGATAGCGCGAGACGATGCCGCGCAGGCCCTCTTGCAGTCTCGAGTCGCAGCCGACGTGGCGCACCGGGCCGCAGAGGCTGTCGGCCACGCCGAATGCCGATCGGCCAACGGCGGTGGCTACTCGACGGCCCCTGTCACCGACTCCTACGCCGTACCGCCGCTCGATCTGACGCCCTTACTTCTCGAGCCACCCACCATCGCCACCTCGCCCGAGTACACCGTCCACACCGCTTTCGTTCCCGCTTCTCTTGGCGACCTGGAGCTAGACTGGCCAGACAACGCGCTCCTCGTCTTCCGCGGCGTGGAGGGGTCTGAGCACTTCTGCCTCGGCGGCGACCCGTCGCAAGCCAACCTCGAGAGCGGCAGCTTTCTCGACGGCTTGCCCGCCTTTGGCCAGCTGCTCGAGCGGCTTCGCGACGCGCCGATGCCAAAGGTGGTGGTTTGCCACGGCGCCACTCGCGGAGGAGGAATGCTCTTCCCCTGCCTCGGCACGGCGGTGCTCGCGCACTCGGACGCCACCTTCGGCTTCCCCGAGATCCGTCGCGGCGCCTTGCCCGGCGTGGTCAGCGTCGCGGCGAGGCGGCGGCTGAGCCCCGCGGCGTGCGAGTGGCTCTTCTGCACGGGCGACGCCATCGACGCCGCCACCGCGCAGCGGCTCGGGCTGGTCGACTTTGTGGGGAGCTGGGAGGAGCTCGATGCCGAGGTGGCGCGGCTGGAGCGCCACTTCCTCTCGTCAGCGCCGAGGCTGCGCGCGCCATCGCCCTTGCCAGCCCCCGAGGTGACGATTGAGGCGGACGCGGACTCGCGGGTGGCGCTGCTCGAGGTGACTGCCGCGTCGGTCGGAGGCCTGTGGCGCGATGCGCTCCTGGTTCTGGACAAGCTCTCGCCGACTTTGCGAGTGCTCGTCCTCTCCGCGGAGGGGCAGGGTGGACCGTCGGACAGCCTGTCTCGCGAGGCGTGCCACCGCCTCGACGCCGCGATGAGCAGGCTCAGCGAGGCGGGCGTCGTCGTCCTCTGCTGCGTGCGAGGGCAGGCTGCGGGCCTGCTGCTGCATGCATGCCTCGGGGCGCACTATCGCATCGTGGAGGTAGGGGCTGCGTTTTCCTTCGACGGCGAGAGTGAGTGCACTCGAGCGGCGGCCTTCCGATTGCTCCAAGCCGACGACGCAAAGTGCCTTCTGCAAGAAGGGGCCGTGAGCTCGGCTCGAGCTCTAGAGCTGGGCCTTGCGAGCGAGCGGGTCGAGGGCGCTGGTGAGCGAGCGCTGCAGTTTGCGCATTGGCTCGTGCAGCACCCGGCGGTAGGCGTGCGGCACATGCTGCGGCTCACCTGTCGCCCGGCAGCTGACGAGGCGGCGCAAGAGGCCAGGCGCAGCAACGAGGCGCTGCTTCTTGAAGGGCTGAGCAGTCCGCCCCGGGCTTTGCCCGCCGCGAAGCGGGAGGGGCTCCATCTCCGATCCCTCCAGCCGCCAAGCGAGCGCCTGCTGGCCGCGGCAGCCGCCCGCCGGAAGCTGCCCTCTCCGCCGCCAGCAGCAGCACCCGCCCTCCTACCGAGCCCACACCCTCCCTCTGAGACCACCTCCCGCCACGCCGGCCTGCACGCGCTCGAGGTGTACGTGCCTCGCCACGCCGTCTCTGCGGCCGAGCTCGAGACCGCGCACGGCGTGCCGGGCAAGTACACGGTCGGGCTGCGGATGGCCGAGTGGGCCGCGTGCGACGAGGACGAGGACGTCGTGTCGATGGCGCTCACGGCGGTGCGGCGGCTGGTCGAGGCGCAGGGCTTGCGGTACGAGGACGTGGGCATGCTGCAGGTGGGGACCGAGTCGCTGCTCGACCGGTCGAAGAGCGTGAAGAGCCACCTGATGGCGCTCTTTGCGCCGCACGGCTGCGCCAACGTGGAGGGCATCGACTGCTACCACGCCTGCTACGGCGGCACGGCGGCGCTGCTCGCGTGCGCCAACTGGGTGGAGAGCTCGGCGTGGGACGGGCGGTGGGCGATCGCCGTGTGCACCGACGTGAGCGACGCGCCCAAGCAGTACCCCTTCATGAACGGCGCGGCGTGCGTGGCGATGCTGGTCGGACCGGACGCGCCCCTCGCGCTCGAGGCCGGCCGCGTGAGCCACATCGTGCACGAGTGGGACTTCTACAAGCCGGTGGGCTGGCCGACGATGGGCCCGATCATCGACGGCCCCGGCTCGATGGAGGTGTACTTCTCGTGCCTCGCCGCCTGCCAGCGCGAGGTCGAGGCGCGGGGCGGCGGCACCTTTGTCGACGCGCACGACTTCCTCGTCTTCCACCTCGGCGGCGGGCCCAAGTTTGTGCGGCACGCCTTTGAGAGCGCCGTCGCCGCGGCGCACGGCGAGGGCTCTGTCGGCGAGGAGGAGGTGGAGGCGATGTTCGAGCGGCTGGTGGCTCCGTCGCTCCGCCTCGCCTCGCGCATCGGCCCGATGCACACCGCCGCCACCTACGTCAACCTCGTCTCGCTCCTGCTGCACGCGTCCCCGCCGGTCGGCTCTCGCATCGGCGTCTTCTCGTTCGGCTCGGGCGCCGCGTCGACGATGTACGCCCTGCGCGTGCGCGGCGAGGCGCGTGTGGACGCGGCGGCGCTGGTAGGCATGCTCGACTCGCGGGAGGTGCTGCCTCCGTCCGACTTTGTGGCGGTGTGCGACCGCTTCTCGGCGACGTACGGCCGCTTCGACTGGACGCCTCGCGTGCGGGGCGTGTCGCCGGCGCGCAGCTACCGCCTCAAGGCGGTGGGCGTGCTGGGGCGGCGGGAGTACGAGTACGTGCCGTTTGACGAGGTGCAGCTGAGGGCACCCGACGTGGCTGCTGCTAAGGCGACAGAGAGCGTCGTGCAAGCTGCGTCGGCCTCATCACCTGCGCTGTTGCAGCTCCTCGCCTCCCTCGCCGGCGGCGGCAGCCAGGGCCCTGCCGCCACCGCCGCTCCCTCGGTCGACGTGGCGGCTGTGGTGGCATCGGTGGCGAGCGAGGTGGCGGGCGGCGAGGTGGACGCCGACGCGCCGCTGATGGAGGCGGGCCTCGACTCGCTCGGCGCCGTCGAGCTCCGCACGCGGCTGGCGTCGGAGCTCGGCGACGCCGCCCTGCCCGAGACGCTGGTCTTCGACTTCCCGACGCTGCGGCAGCTCGAGGCGCACCTGTCGGCGAGGGTGGCCCCGGTGGCTGCAGGGCCGCAGCTTGGAGACGGCTCTGCCGTGCTGCAGCAGCTCCTCGCCTCCCTCGCCGGCGGCGGCAGCCAGGGCCCTGCCGCCACCGCCGCCCCCTCGGTCGACGTGGCGGCTGTGGTGGCGTCGGTGGCGAGCGAGGTGGCGGGCGGCGAGGTGGACGCCGACGCGCCGCTGATGGAGGCGGGGCTCGACTCGCTCGGCGCCGTCGAGCTCCGCACGCGGCTGGCGTCGGAGCTTGGCGACGCCTCCCTGCCCGAGACGCTGGTCTTCGACTTCCCGACGCTGCGGCAGCTCGAGGCGCACCTGTCGGTGAGGGTGACGCCGACCGCAGCTACTCAATACCCTGATGGCGCAGCCCTGCTCGCTATGCTGATTGGACAGGCCTCTGGCGCATCTCACTCGAATCAGAATCAGCTGCCACTCCAGCAGATCACTGTAACAGGAACGTGCTGTGCTCTTGCGGGCGGCATCGCTTCTTTGGAGGCGCTGGTGGCCACGTCAGTGACTGGTTGCGATCTGGTCAATGAGGTGCCAGCCACGCGCTGGGACGTCGATCACTCTCCTCCCGGATACGGTGCTGAGGTTGGGCGAGCTCGCCACGGCGGCTTCATGCAGGGCGCTGAGCTCTTTGACAACGCTCGATTCAACGTCTCTCCGGCGGAGGCGGCAGCAATGGACCCGCAGCAGCGGCTGCTGCTCGAGCACGGCTATGCCGCGCTGCACGCCTCGGGCTTCGAGAGGGCCTCGTTGATGGGAAGCGGGGCCGGAGTTGCGGTGGGCATTTACAACACGGAGTTCAGCCAGGTGCTGGCAGCTGGCCCGCTGCAGCGCAGCGTCTACACGGCCACCAGCTTGAGCCTCTCTATCGCGAGTGGCCGCCTGTCCTTCGTGCTCGGCCTGCAAGGGCCCTGTGCGGCTTTTGATACGGCTTGCTCGGCCTCCCTAGTCGGTTGCCACTCCGCACTGCGCGCGCTCCAGCATGAAGAGTGCGAGCAGCACCTCGCCGCGGGCGTCAATGCGATGCTGCTACCCGTTGTCGGCCTCGCCTTTGCGGTTGCCGGCATGACGTCGCCGACCGGCCGCTCCCACACCTTTGACAGCCGCGCCGACGGCTTTGCGCGAGGTGAGGGGTGCACGGTTGCAGTCTTGGCCACACCTAGCGAGCGCGGGCCAGCTTCTGTTCGGGGCGTTGGACTGGTCTTGCGTGGCAGCTGCGTGCGGCAGGACGGCAAGAGCGCGAGCCTCACCGCGCCCAACGGGCAGGCGCAGCAGGCGCTGCTGCGGGCCGCCCTCGCCGACGGAGGCGTCGAGCCCGCCGCCCTCTCGTGCCACGAGGCGCACGGCACCGGCACGCCGCTCGGCGACCCGATCGAGGTGCGCTCGCTGGCGGCGGCGGTGCTGGCTGCGCGCGCGCCGTCGCCGCCGCTCTGCGTGGGCAGCCTCAAGGCGACCTGCGGCCACGCCGAGTCTGCGGCGGGGCTGGCGGGGCTGCTACGGCTGGCGGCGGGGCTGCTCGAGGCGCAGGCCGCGCCCAACGCGCAGCTGCGGCGCATCAACCCGCACGTCGGCTCTGCGGTGGAGGGCGTGGCGTGCGCACTGCCGACGCAACTGGCGCGAGGGCTGGATGCCGCGGCGGGCGGGAGGGGCGGCGTGAGCTCGTTTGGATACAGCGGCACGATCGCACACGCCGTGCTCGAGGCGGCGCCTGCTGCATCGGCCGAGCCTCCGCCTCTGCCTCCTCTCGTGTACAAGCGCCGCTCGTTCCCCTGGTACGAGGCAAAGGACAAGGGGCTGCCACCGAGCTGCAGACTGGCTGGCGGCATGCGAGCCTCCTCTGCTCTGCGTCGCCTCCGCCGCCTGCCCGACGCGGCTGCGCTCGTCCAGCTGCAAAGTATCACCCTCACTGCGAGCGAGGAGCTGAGTGAATGGCTCCGGGCCCGGCGAGAGCCTCTCGTGCTCCTCTGCCGAGGGCTGGTGGGCGGCGCGGGCGCGCTCCTCCTCCTCGACGCCGCCACGGTGGTCGTCGCCGACACCACCTTCACCCTCTCCGTGCAGCCAGAGTGCTCTGTGCGCCTCCACAGGCGGCCTGAGGGGATCGTGACAGCCACAACGCTGTCGGCGTCCGATGCAGCACAAGCTGGCCTGGTGGACTCGGCTCTCTCGCCCGCCACTGCGGCCGCCGAGTCTCGCCGCCTCGTGCAGCGCCTCTCCTCTCTCCCTGCTCCGCTCTTGAAGACCTGCCGCTCGCTCCTGCCTGCGCCGAGTGTCGACGCCGCACTCGTTGCGATGGGCTCGCTCCTTCCCAGCCCGCCACGCTCCATCGGCAAGCGGCTCGTGCGGCTCTACGTCGATGGCGAGTCGAAGGTGGCGGTGGTGGAGCTGAACGACCCGTCGCGCATGAACAGCTTCTCGGCGGAGCTCGCCGAGGACGTGGCGGAGGCGGCGGCGAGCATCGGCCGTGACCCGCTCATCAAGGCGGTTCTGCTCCAGGGCGCGGGCCCGCACTTCTCGGTCGGCGGCAACCCCTTTCAAAGGGAGAAGGCGGCCGCGCCACTTGCTGCTGTTGCGCTCGGGTGCCGAACATTGTACGACGGCTTTGGCGCGCTGTACAAGCTCGACGTGCCATTGGTTGCCGCGGTGCACGGCAAGCTGATTGGCGGCGGCGTCGCTGCCTGCCTGCACGCTGACTACATTGTGGCCGACTCGAAGGCCACGTTCGAGCATGGCAACCTCGTGCGCGGCGTCTGTGTTCTCGGCATGCTGTCTCAGACCCTTCCAAACGCGGTGGGGCGAGCACGGGCGCTCTCCATCTACCTCACCAACGACACGCTCGACGCCGCCGCGGCACACGAGGCGCGGCTCGCAAATGAGGTGTGTACCGAGGGAGTCGCGGCTACGCAGCGCCGCGCCTTCGACGTCGCGTGTGAGATAGTTCGAGGAGATGCCGCGCAGGCCCTCTTGCAGTCTCGAGTCGCAGCCGACGTGGCGCACCGGGCCGCAGAGGCTGTCGGCCACGCCGAATGCCTATACGCCAACGGTGGTAGCTACACAAAGGCCCCTGTTACCGACTCCTACGCTGTACCGCCGCTCGATCTGATGCCGTTCCTTCTCGAGCCACCCACCATCGCCACCTCGCCCGAGTACTCTGTCCACACCGTTTTCGTTCCCGCTTCTCTTGGCGGCCTGGAGCTAGACTGGCCAGACAACGCGCTCCTCGTCTTCCGCGGCGTGGAGGGCGCTGAGCACTTCTGCCTCGGCGGCGACCCGTCGCCAGCCAACCTCGAGAGCGGCAGCTTTCTCGACGGCTTGCCCGCCTTTGGCCAGCTGCTCGAGCGGCTTCGCGACGCGCCGATGCCAAAGGTGGTGGTTTGCCACGGCGCCACTCGCGGAGGAGGAATGCTCTTTCCCTGCCTCGGCACGGCGGTGCTCGCGCACTCGGACGCCACCTTTGGCTTCCCCGAGATCCGGCGCGGCGCCTTGCCCGGCGTGGTCAGCGTCGCGGCGAGGCGGCGGCTGAGCCCCGCGGCGTGCGAGAGGCTCTTCTGCACGGGCGACGCCATCGACGCCGCCACCGCGCAGCGGCTCGGGCTGGTCGACTTTGTGGGGAGCTGGGAGGAGCTCGATGCCGAGGTGGCGCGGCTGGAGTGTCACTTCCTCTCGTCAGCGCCAAGGCTGCGCGCGCCATCGCCCTTGCCAGCCCCCGAGGTGACGATTGAGGCGGACGCGGACTCGCGGGTGGCGCTGCTCGAGGTGACTGCCGTGTCTGTCGAGGGCCTGTGGCGCGATGCGCTCCTGGTTCTGGACAAGCTCTCGCCGACTTTGCGAGTGCTCGTCCTCTCCGCGGAGGGGCAGGGTGGGCCGTCGGACAGCCTGTCTCGCGAGGCGTGCCACCGCCTCGACGCCGCGATGAGCAGGCTCAGCGAGGCGGGCGTCGTCGTCGTCTGCTGCGTGCGAGGGCAGGTTGAGGGTCTGCTGCTGCATGCATGCCTCGGGGCGCACTATCGCATCGTGGAGGCAGGGTCGGCGTTTTCCTTCGACGGCGAGAGTGAGTGCACTCGAGCGGCGGCCTTCCACTTGCTCCAAGCCGACGACGCAAAGTGCCTTCTGCAAGAAGGGGCCGTGAGCTCGGCTCGAGCTCTGGAGCTGGGCGTTGCGAGCGAGCGGGTCGAGGGCGCTGGTGAGCGAGCGCTGCAGTTTGCGCATTGGCTCGTGCAGCACTCGGCGGTCGGCGTGCGGCACGTGCTGCGGCTCACCTGTGGCCCAGCAGCTGACGAGGCGGCGCAAGAGGCCAGGCGCAGCAACGAGGCGCTGCTTCTCGAGGGGCTGAGCAGTCCAAAGGCCTTGCCTGCCGCTAAGCAGGAGGGGCTCCATCTCCGATCCCTCCAGCCGCCAAGCGAGCGCTTGCTGGCCGGCGCAGCCGCCCGCCGGAAGCTATCCTCTCCGCCGCCAGCACCAGCACCTGCCCTCCTACCGAGCCCGCACCCTCCCTCTGAGACCACCTCCCGCCGCGCCGGCCTGCACGCGCTTGAGGTGTACGTGCCTCGCCACGCCGTCTCTGCGGCCGAGCTCGAGACCGCGCACGGCGTGCCGGGCAAGTACACGGTCGGGCTGCGGATGGCCGAGTGGGCCGCGTGCGACGAGGACGAGGACGTCGTGTCGATGGCGCTCACGGCGGTGCGGCGGCTGGTCGAGGCGCAGGGCTTGCGGTACGAGGACGTGGGCATGCTGCAGGTGGGGACCGAGTCGCTGCTCGACCGGTCGAAGAGCGTGAAGAGCCACCTGATGGCGCTCTTTGCGCCGCACGGCTGCGCCAACGTGGAGGGCATCGACTGCTACCACGCCTGCTACGGCGGCACGGCGGCGCTGCTCGCGTGCGCCAACTGGGTGGAGAGCTCGGCGTGGGACGGGCGGTGGGCGATCGCCGTGTGCACCGACGTGAGCGACGCGCCCAAACAGTACCCCTTCATGAACGGCGCGGCGTGCGTGGCGATGCTGGTCGGACCGGACGCGCCCCTCGCGCTCGAGGCCGGCCGCGTGAGCCACATCGTGCACGAGTGGGACTTCTACAAGCCGGTGGGCTGGCCGACGATGGGCCCGATCGTCGACGGCCCCGGCTCGATGGAGGTGTACTTCTCGTGCCTCGCCGCCTGCCAGCGCGAGGTCGAGGCGCGGGGCGGCGGCACCTTTGTCGACGCGCACGACTTCCTCGTCTTCCACCTCGGCAGCGGGCCCAAGTTTGTGCGGCACGCCTTTGAGAGCGCCGTCGCCGCGGCGCACGGCGAGGGCTCTGTCGGCGAGGAGGAGGTGGAGGCGATGTTCGAGCGGCTGGTGGCTCCGTCGCTCCGCCTCGCCTCGCGCATCGGGCCGATGCACACCGCCGCCACCTACGTCAACCTCGCCTCGCTCCTGCTGCACGCGTCCCCGCCGGTCGGCTCTCGCATCGGCGTCTTCTCGTACGGCTCGGGCGCCGCGTCGACGATGTACGCCCTGCACGTGCGCGGCGAGGCGCGTGTCGACGCGGCTGCGCTGTTGGGCATGCTCGACGCGCGGGAGGTGCTGCCTCCGTCCGACTTTGTGGCGGTGTGCGACCGCTTCTCGGCGACGTACGGCCGCTTCGACTGGACGCCTCGCGTGCGGGGCGTGTCGCCGGCGCGCAGCTACCGCCTCAAGGCGGTGGGCGTGCTGGGGCGGCGGGAGTACGAGTACGTGCCGTTTGACGAGGTGCCGCTGAGGGCGCCCGACGTGATAACTGCTGAGGGGACAGAGAGCGTCGTGCAAGCTGCATCGCCCTCATCACCTGCGCTGCTGCAGCTCCTCGCCTCCCTCGCCGGCGGCGGCAGCCAGCGCCCTGCCGCCACCGCCGCCCCCTCGGTCGACGTGGCGGCTGTGGTGGCGTCGGTGGCGAGCGAGGTGGCGGGCGGCGAGGTGGACGCCGACGCGCCGCTGATGGAGGCGGGCCTCGACTCGCTCGGCGCCGTCGAGCTCCGCACGCGGCTGGCGTCGGAGCTCGGCGACGCCTCCCTACCCGAGACGCTGGTCTTCGACTTCCCGACGCTGCGGCAGCTCGAGGCGCACCTGTCGGCGAGGGCGGCCCCGGCGGCTGCAGGGCCGCAGCTTGGAGACGGCTCTGCCGCGCTGCTGCAGCTCCTCGCCTCCCTCGCCGGCGGCGGCAGCCAGGGCCCTGCCGCCACCGCCGCTCCCTCGGTCGACGTGGCGGCTGTGGTGGCGTCGGTGGCGAGCGAGGTGGCGGGCGGCGAGGTGGACGCCGACGCGCCGCTGATGGAGGCGGGCCTCGACTCGCTCGGCGCCGTCGAGCTCCGCACGCGGCTGGCGTCGGAGCTTGGCGACGCGTCCCTGCCCGAGACGCTTGTCTTCGACTTCCCGACGCTGCGGCAGCTCGAGGCGCACCTGTCGGCGAGGGCGGCCCCGGCGGCTGCAGGGCCGCAGCTTGGAGACGGCTCTGCCGCGCTGCTGCAGCTCCTCGCCTCCCTCGCCGGCGGCGGCAGCCAGGGCCCTGCCGCCACCGCCGCTCCCTCGGTCGACGTGGCGGCTGTGGTGGCGTCGGTGGCGAGCGAGGTGGCGGGCGGCGAGGTGGACGCCGACGCGCCGCTGATGGAGGCGGGCCTCGACTCGCTCGGCGCCGTCGAGCTCCGCACGCGGCTGGCGTCGGAGCTTGGCGACGCGTCCCTGCCCGAGACGCTTGTCTTCGACTTCCCGACGCTGCGGCAGCTCGAGGCGCACTTGTCGGCGAGGGCGGCCCCGATGGCTGCAGGGCCGCAGCTTGGAGACGGCTCCGCCGCGCTGCTGCAGCTCCTCGCCTCCCTCGCCTCTGGTAGCAAGCAGGCAACAGTCAAAGAGATGGCTGTCTCCCCTGTAGAGGTGTACGTGCGGCAGGCTGGTAGCGTCCGCGGTGTTGCCCTTCGCTCGCAAGCCCCCACGCTCGCGAACGTGGATGCCAACGAGATCGAGGTAGTCACCAAGGCGACCGGATTGAACTTCCGTGACGTTGTCAATATCCTGGGCCAGGACCCGACTGGACAGGTCCGGCCGTTAGGCTTGGAATGTGCTGGAATAGTACGTGCGGCAGGCTCCGACGTGCGTCACCTTTCCCACGGTATGCCTTGCTTTGGCATTGGACTTGGCTGCCTTCGCAGCTGGGTGCGCTGCGACGCGCATCTCCAAGTTCAAATGCCGCGAGTGGTAGGGTTTGAGGAAGCGTGCACGCTGCCAATCTTGTGGCCCACCGTCTCTCTTGTGATGACGGAGCTCGGGTGTGGCCGGCACGGTGGTTCCCTACTGGTGCATTCGGCATCGGGCGGGACGGGACAAGTCGCGGTCGGGTTTGCCCGGCTCGCAGGAATCGGTATCCTTGCCTCTGCTGGCCAGCCCAAAAAGCACCTCTTCCTGCAACGACTCGGAGTGCGTGCCAGGGCGAGCTCCCGCGATCCGAAAGCGTTTGCCCATGGTGGCAATTTGCTCACTACCGCTGGACGACTCGATGCAGTTTTGGCTGCCTCACTAGCTGGGGATTTCACCCCCACCTCCTTGGCGCTACTCAAAGAGGGTGCTCGCTTCTTAGAGATCGGCAAAAACAAGGTGTGGAGTCAAATGCGAATGGATGCTGCGGGCCCAGCAGGCCGCTTCCAGCTGGTGGCTGCTGACTACATGCCGAAGGCCTGGTGGGCGGCGAAACTTGAAAGCCTGGCGTCCGCGCTCGGACGGGGCTTGGTCAGTCCACTTCCGCTTACACTCTTTGACTGCTCCGAGCGGGACCTTGTAGACGCCTTCTCGGCGCTGAGGATGGGAGACAACATTGGGAGATTCGTTGTCCTTCTTCCAAGCGTTCCTGAGGTTGCAATAGCTCGACAGGTGGCACAGCCGGGTGGCTTTATGGGCGAGCGCGGGATGGGCGCAGTTGTTTTGGCAAGCCTAAGCGTGAACGTTCCTCGTGCCTCCTCACGCTCACTTATCGTAAGCCTGACGGAGACCTCGTCGAACGCGGTCACAGAGGTCCCCCGCTCGCGCTGGCATGTCGGCTTGGTCCGACCAGATGCAAGTGGCGTCGAGCAACGTACTCGTTATGGCGGCTTCCTGAGCGGCGCCGACCTCTTCGACAATGCTCGCTTCGGCGTCTCGCCCGCCGAGGCGGCCGCCGTCGACCCGCAGCAGCGGCTGCTCCTGGAGCGAGGCTACGAGGCCTTGCACGGCGCGGGCATGGACAAGGCGGCGCTGGGCGGCAGCCTGGCGGGCGTCTTTCTCGGCATCGCCGCCAACGACTGGCAGAGCGTCGCGGCGCAGTCTCCCATCGGCAGGAGCGTGTACGCCGCCACCGGCGGGTCGATGTCGATCGCGGCAGGCCGCCTCTCGTTTGTGCTCGGGCTGCAGGGCCCGTGCGTCTCGTACGACACCGCCTGCTCGGCGGCGCTGGTCGCGAACCACGCCGCGCTGCGAGCCCTGCAGCTGGACGAGTGCTCCCCCGCCCTCTCGGTCGGCGTGAACCTGATGCTGCTGCCCGGCGTCGGCTTCTCGTTTGCGGTTGCCGGCATGACGTCGCCGACCGGCCGCTGCCACACCTTTGACGCTGCGGCGGACGGGTATGCTCGAGGCGAGGCGTGCTGCGCGGCGGTGCTTGCGATGGGCGAAGAGAGCAGCGGCTCGGGGCTCTCCCTCCTCCTCGGCAGCTGCGTGCGGCAGGACGGCAAGAGCGCGAGCCTCACCGCGCCCAACGGGCAGGCGCAGCAGGCGCTGCTGCGGGCCGCCCTCGCCGACGGAGGCGTCGAGCCCGCCGCCCTCTCGGCCTACGAGGCGCACGGCACAGGCACGCCGCTCGGCGACCCGATCGAGGTGCGCTCGCTGGCGGCGGCGGTGCTGGCTGCGCGCGCGCCGTCGCCGCCGCTCTGCGTGGGCAGCCTCAAGGCGAACTGCGGCCACGCCGAGCCGGCGGCGGGGCTGGCGGGGCTGCTACGGCTGGCGGCGGGGCTGCTCGAGGCGCGGGCGCCGCCCAACGCGCAGCTGCGGCGCATCAACCCGCACGTGGGCTCTGCGGTGGAGGGCGTGGCGTGCGCTCTGCCGACGCAGCTGGCGCGAGGGCTGGATGCCGCGGCGGGCGGGAGGGGCGGCGTGAGCTCGTTTGGGTACAGCGGCACGATCGCACACGCCGTGCTCGATGCGGCGCCTGCTGCATCGGCCGGACCTCCGCCTCTGCCTCCTCTCGCGTACAAGCGCCGCTCGTTCCCCTGGTACGAGGCAAAGAACAAGGGGCTGCCACCGAGCTGCAGGCTGGCTGGCTGCATGCGAGCCTCCTCTGCTCTGCGTCGCCTCCGCCGCCTGCCCGACGCGGCTGCGCTCTTCCAGCTGCAAAGCCTCACCCTCGCTGCGAGCGAGGAGCTGAGTGAATGGCTCCGGGCCCGGCGAGAGCCTCTCGTGCTCCTCTGCCGAGGGCCGATGGGCGGCGCGGGCGCGCTCCTCCTCCTCGACGCCGCCACGGTGGTCGTCGCCGACACCACCTTCACCCTCTCCGTCCAGCCAGAGGGCTCTGTGCGCCTCAAGAGGCGGCCTGCGGGGATCGTGACAGCCACAGCGCTGTCGGCGTCCGATGCAGCACAAGCTGGCCTGGTGGACTCGGCTCTCTCGCCCGCCACTGCGGCCGCCGAGTCTCGCCGCCTCGTGCAGCGCCTCTCCTCTCTCCCTGCTCCGCTCTTGAAGACCTGCTGCTCGCTCCTGCCTGCGCCGAGTGTCGACGCCGCACTCGTTGCGATGGGCTCGCTCTTTCCCCGCCCGCCACGCTCCATCGGCAAGCGGCTCGTGCGGCTCTACGTCGATGGCGAGTCGAAGGTGGCGGTGGTGGAGCTGAACGACCCGTCGCGCATGAACAGCTTCTCGGCGGAGCTCGCCGAGGACGTGGCGGAGGCGGCGGCGAGCATCGGCCGTGACCCGCTCATCAAGGCGGTTCTGCTCCAGGGCGCGGGCCCGCACTTCTCGGTCGGCGGCAACCCCTTTCAAAGGGAGAAGGCGGCCGCGCCACTTGCTGCTGTTGCGCTCGGGTGCCAGGCTGCGTTTGACGGCTTTGGCGCGCTGTACAAGCTCGGCGTGCCACTGGTTGCTGCGGTGCACGGCAAGCTGATTGGCGGCGGCATCGCTGCCTGCCTGCACGCTGACTACATTGTGGCCGACTCGAAGGCCACGTTCGAGCATGGCAACCTCGTGCGCGGCGTCTGTCCTCTCGGCATGCTGTCTCAGACCCTTCCAAACGCGGTGGGGCGAGCACGGGCGCTCTCCATCTACCTCACCAACGACACGCTCGACGCCGCCGCAGCACACGAGGCGCGGCTCGCAGACGAGGTGTGTACCGAGGGAGTCGAGGCTACGCAGCGCCGCGCCTTCGACGTCGCGTGTGAGATAGCGCGAGACGATGCCGCGCAGGCCCTCTTGCAGTCTCGAGTCGCAGCCGACGTGGCGCACCGGGCCGCAGAGGCTGTCGGCCACGCCGAATGCCGATTCGCCAACGGCGGTGCCTTCGCCAAGGCCCCTGTTACCGACTCCCACGCCGTACCGCCGCTCGATCTGACGCCGCTCCTTCTCGAGCCACCCAGCGTCGCCGCCCCGCCCGAGTACTCCGTCCACACCGTTTTCGTTCCCGCTTCTCTTGGCGGCCTGGAGCTGGACTGGCCCGACAACGCGCTCCTCGTCTTCCGCGGCGTGGAGGGGTCTGAGCACTTCTGCCTCGGCGGCGACCCGTCGCCAGCCAACCTCGAGAGCGGCAGCTTTCTCGACGGCTTGCCCGCCTTTGGCCAGCTGCTCGAGCGGCTTCGCGACGCGCCGATGCCAAAGGTGGTGGTTTGCCACGGCGCCACTCGCGGAGGAGGAATGCTCTTCCCCTGCCTCGGCACGGCGGTGCTCGCGCACTCGGACGCCACCTTTGGCTTCCCCGAGATCCGTCGCGGCGCCTTGCCCGGCGTGGTCAGCGTCGCGGCGAGGCGGCGGCTGAGCCCCGCGGCGTGCGAGTGGCTCTTCTGCACGGGCGACGCCATCGACGCCGCCACGGCACAGCGGCTCGGGCTGGTCGACTTTGTGGGGAGCTGGGAGGAGCTCGATGCCGAGGTGGCGCGGCTGGAGCGCCATTTCCTCTCGTCAGCGCTGAGGCTGCGCGCGCCATCGCCCTTGCCAGCCCCCGAGGTGACGATTGAGGCGGACGCGGACTCGCGGGTTGCGCTGCTCGAGGTGACTGCCGTGTCTGTCGAGGGCCTGTGGCGCGATGCGCTCCTGGTTCTGGACAAGCTCTCGCCGTCCCTGCGAGTGCTCGTCCTCTCCGCGGAGGGGCAGGGTGGGCCGTCGGGTAGCCTGTCTCGCGAGGCGTGCCACCGCCTCGACGCTGCGATGAGCAGGCTCAGCGAGGCGGGCGTCGTTGTCGTTTGCTGCGTGCGAGGGCAAGTTGAGGGTCTGCTGCTGCATGCATGCCTCGGGGCGCACTATCGCATCGTGGAGGCAGGGGCTGCGTTTTCCTTCGACGGCGAGAGCGAATGCACTCGAGCGGCGGTCTTCCACTCGAGCGACGCAAAGTGCCTTCTGCAAGAGGGGGCCGTGAGCTCGGCTCGAGCTCTGGAGCTGGGCCTTGCGAGCGAGCGGGTCGAGGGCGCTGGTGAGCGAGCGCGGCAGTTTGCGCATTGGCTCGTGCAGCACCCGGCGGTCGGCGTGCGGCACATGCTGCGGCTCACCTGTCGCCCAGCAGCTGACGAGGCGGCGCAAGAGGCCAGGCGCAGCAACGAGGCGCTGCTTCTTGAAGGGCTGAGCAGTCCGTCCCGGGCTTTGCCTGCCGCGAAGCGAGAAGTCCATCTCCAATCCCTGCAGCCGCCAAGTGAGCGCCTGCTGGCCGCGGCAGCCGCCCGCCGGAAGCTATCCTCTCCGCCGCCAGCACCAGCTCCCGCCCTCCTACCGAGCCCGCACCCTCCCTCTAAGACCACCTCCCGCCACGCCGGCCTGCACGCGCTCGAGGTGTACGTGCCTCGCCACGCCGTCTCGGCGGCCGAGCTCGAGGCCGCGCACGGCGTGCCGGGCAAGTACACGGTCGGGCTGCGGATGGCCGAGTGGGCCGCGTGCGACGAGGACGAGGACGTCGTCTCGATGGCGCTCACGGCGGTGCGGCGGCTGGTCGAGGCGCAGGGCTTGCGGTACGAGGACGTGGGCATGCTGCAGGTGGGGACCGAGTCGCTGCTCGACCGGTCCAAGAGCGTGAAGAGCCACCTGATGTCGCTCTTTGCGCCGCATGGCTGCGCCAACGTCGAGGGCATCGACTGCTACCACGCCTGCTACGGCGGCACGGCGGCGCTGCTCGCGTGCGCCAACTGGGTGGAGAGCTCGGCGTGGGACGGGCGGTGGGCGATCGCCGTGTGCACCGACGTGAGCGACGCGCCCAAGCAGTACCCCTTCATGAACGGCGCGGCGTGCGTGGCGATGTTGGTCGGGCCTGACGCGCCCCTCGCGCTCGAGGCCGGCCGCGTGAGCCACATCGTGCACGAGTGGGACTTCTACAAGCCGGTGGGCTGGCCGACGATGGGCCCGATCGTCGACGGCCCCGGCTCGATGGAGGTGTACTTCTCGTGCCTCGCCGCCTGCCAGCGCGAGGTCGAGGCGCGGGGCGGCGGCACCTTTGTCGACGCGCACGACTTCCTCGTCTTCCACCTCGGCGGCGGGCCCAAGTTTGTGCGGCACGCCTTTGAGAGCGCCGTCGCCGCGGCGCACGGCGAGGGCTCTGTCGGCGAGGAGGAGGTGGAGGCGATGTTCGAGCGGCTGGTGGCTCCGTCGCTCCGCCTCGCCTCGCGCATCGGGCCGATGCACACCGCCGCCACCTACGTCAACCTCGCCTCGCTCCTGCTGCACGCGTCCCCGCCGGTCGGCTCTCGCATCGGCGTCTTCTCGTTCGGCTCGGGCGCCGCG